GTGAACCAAACTCTCACAAGGCAAGCCTGGTCTCGGGCCGGGCTAGGGGAGTAGAAGAACTCCCATAACCCCATCAACCAGGTATCATTAGAATGGTGTACCCCACACTAGTGGCTTGGTGCTGTGGTCAGTGTTCAGGTGTTCAATGTTCAGGTGTTCAATGTTCAGGTGTTCAATGTTCAGGTGTTCAATGTTCAGGTGTTCAATGTTCAGGTGTTCACGGAGCTCCTGGACTGTCTGGTCATATGGTGGACAGTGTTTTGCTGCTCATTTTAACGCCTTATTTTGCACTGCTTGTAGTTTTTGCATGTTAGTTTTACTTAAGGTTTGTGATGGTACTGGTGGGAGTAACCTGTACTCTATGGTCCCCCCATTGGACTAAATAAGGGGCACTGTGAAGAATACCCGGTCAAAAGCATCCGCAGGAAATGTATATGTTTATCTCTCAGAATGTTCGGTAATACGTTTATTGTTTGTGATGTGTGTCTATGTATGTATTAACACGATGTACTGAACGGGGTGAGAATGGCTTGAGCTACCTCATCCCTTTGTGTGTATTTTACCTCAATAAACTTATTTCAATTTCAATTTTAAAGCATCCGCGTTTTCTATGCTTTGTTTGGTAAGGTTAGGTGGAGAGTTAGGGTTTGCACATTTTAGTAGCCTGCGTGTCGTCCGTTGTGGCAAGACAAGAGGCCGGGGCGGGCAATTCGAGAGACGGACGGACCAAATCACTGCGTCATTTTTTTTCATTTATTTTTTTTTTCACACAGGTACAGGAGCAGAGGACAAGTGACTCCTGCTAGCAGGCTGAGAGCTGCCCCTCAGCTCATGGTAAGTGTGGCTGTTTGTGGGTGCGTGGACTACGGCATCTCCTCGGGTTTGTTGATTGATTGTTGCTAGTTTATTGTGCACCCCATACTCATCCTGTGAGCGGTAGCGCAAAAAGCATTACAGAGGGCACAAAAGGTCTTTATCAGACCTCATCTTAGATTATCACATAAACAATTGTCTCATGCTGTTCGTGCTGCGTTTATTGTGTCTTAGGTGAATTATGATTGCTGTTCTATTAATCTTGAGTCCCGGTATTCTGCCTACATCCTTATGGGCGGGTTTCAAGGATAATGGGTTCGGGGTTTCTTTTTTGCAATGTGTATTATTTGGAACTATTGTTTATTGCTGTTGTTTCTTGATCTGTGACAGCGACGGGTGGAGGGAGGTCCAGGCTAGCGGGCGAGGCCTGGGGTAGAGGCAGCCTCATACGTTATAGACAACTAACATGCAAAACTACATAGTTATTACGGGCTCACTTTAGCCCGTGCTACATGGACATTTTGTTCTGAGTAATCTAAAACAACAACAACTTGATAGTGCCAAAGACGGCATCAAGAAGAACTGACAACATCGACCACGTAATCTAGGAGCTCCATGAATTCCTAGATTATGAACTCCTAGTACACAACAGCTGACTCTTACTCAGACTACAAAAGCAAGTTACCAGCATCTGTAACACCAGGCAAAAGCAAGATGAATCTGTGCTTGAAACACTACAGGCAGATGAGACGCCCCACTCCCACAGCGGGCGGCCCAACCCGTCAAACACACACCGAAACTACGACGTTGGTACAATGTTCGAACAAGTTTTAACACCTAACCAGTTATAACAACCAATATAGCAAGTTGTAACAACGTTCTAATACGTCATAAACACGTTAAGCCAAGATGTAACAACTTTATTACAAGTTGTAACAAGCGGGAAAATAGAGACAGTTTCGGTTTGTGTTTCCAAGAGCTTGGAGCTTCTCCAGGCCAACCAAGGGGCCCCACACTACAAACTTTCAAGATCAAATACAGACCAGAGAAAACAAAACCACGGAATACAAATATGACCCAGCAAAGAGAAACAGCAAAACATGTACATAAGTATTTGAGTGAACAAATCCACAAGGGGCGTGGCGAGGATTCGAACCTGCGTCCGAGAGCATCCCAGCTCGGAGAGGCTGCAGGATCCAGTAAGTTCACCAGAACTTCGGTTTCAACTCCTTTTGACCATGTCGTAGCTCAGTCGATTAAGGCAGCGTCTGGGATGCTCCCGGACGCAGGTTCGAATCCTCGTCACGGCCCTTGTGGATTGGTTCTGGGTAGACTGTTACACATATACCAGGTGTATGTGGCCACATATGTACTTGCTGGGTACGGATATTGTTACGGCCCTCTCGGGTCGCAACCGGGTTCTTTCTCTGATGTAAGTAGAGTTTGGGTATCCGGCCCCAAGCTAGTAGTGGCTTTCAAGGGGTGGGCTCCGTAACGCAAGTAAATTAAAGGGGAAGGGAGACAAAGGCAAAAACTTAATAATATAATTGTCACCATCACCATAAACAATATATATCCTATCACACGGGGGAGGTATAAACACTATTATATACAATGTGGTCTTCTTCTGAAGATGCGGAGTGTTCCACGGTGCTCGACGATGCTTAGCTCTGGGTCCTCTTGTGGCCTCGCGATGAATCCTTCGATTCTCTTGAGTCTACCCTGGCCACAGGCCAGCCAAATCACAGTTCCACTGGGGGCACCGTCGTGGAGGCCGTCAACCACCAATCCAGCCTGTAGCTGGCAGGTTCCAATCAGCAACGCTGGTTAGGCCACTCCACGACCGATACTAGGGTAGCGAGCCCTAGGCAGGAGCCTCGTGTGATCCCACAGATCACTCTCCTCACCACAACGCCCCAGTGGTTAAGCGTCTCCACCAGTCAGTCCCGGGTACGACAATCCCTCAACTGCCACGTCACAGGCAGGCTAACACCACAGTGTTCATCCGGGGGGCGACTCACAGCTGCTGCAGCAAACACGTGGAGACTCTTCGACTGCCTTAGGTAGACTGATCCAACGTTCATTACAGCAGTCCCAGGTCAACTCTGTAATCAGACACGTCATCAGTAATAGGGACACTCTAGGGCACCTCACTTACAGGCTTAGACACAAACGCCCACCTATCCACTCCATAGATGGCGTTGCTGTCTAAGCGTCACCTTACCAGAGGTCAGCAGCGGCTGTGTTATGAGCTGATCAGGACGGGAAACTAGCCCTTGTGACTGGTATTTCTCGTCCTCACTAGGTGGCGTCGTCCATTTGGAGGGGGTTTCGGGAGCTGACCCACAGATGGCGTGGTCGTCACTGCTCCGTGCTCGGACGCTGGGCTCGGGTCCGTAACAGATATAAGGTCACCTGTAAGGTCACAGTGGCCAGACTCGTGGTTCAGAGACACGGGTTTACAGTATTGTAACCGGGTCATGTAGGAGGTCAAGGTGTTGATTGGCAGATGAGTGGCGTCCTCAGTGTGTGGTGAGTCCTGTGTTGGCGGTGGCAGGGCGTGTATTGGGGGGGAGGGGCAGGGTGCGTGTGCATTGGGCTGGTGCTTCCAGTGGGTATTTTGCGGGCGGGGTGTTGGGTCAAGGTATCACATTTAGCTTACCAACGCGTCTGTTGTGGCATGGAACAAGAAACTCATTGTTTAGAATGTAATTAGAATGTGTGTGTGGGGTGTATACTCACCTAGTTGTACTCACCTATTGTGTCTGCAGGATCGAGCATTGACTCTTGGATCCCGCCTTTCGAGCCTTCGGTTGTTTACAGCAATGACTCCTGTCCCATTTCCCTATCATACCTGGTTTTAAAATTATGAATAGTATTTGCTTCCACAACCTGTTCCTGAAGTGCATTCCATTTTCCCACTACTCTCACGCTAAAAGAAAACTTCCTAACATCTCTGTGACTCATCTGAGTTTCCAGCTTCCATCCATGTCCCCTCGTTCTGTTACTATTCCGTGTGAACATTTCATCTATTTCCACTCTGTTAATCCCCCTGAGTATTTTATACGTTCCTATCATATACGTTCCTGGCGCTCTCCCTTCTTTTTTCCTAGTGTCGTAAGGCTCAGTTCCTTCAGGCGCTCTTCATACCCCATCTCTCGTAACGCTGGGACGAGTCTTTGTACAAACTTCTGAACCTTTTCCAGTTTCCTTATGTGTTTCTGCAGGTGGGGACTCCATGATGGGGCGGCATACTCTAAGACTGGCCTCACGTAAGCAGTGTAAAGCGCCCTAAAAATCTCTTTACTTAGGTTTCTGAATGATCTTCTAACTTTTGCCAGTGTAGAGTACGCTGCTGTCGATATCCTATTTATATGTGCCTCAGGAGTTAGATTAGGTGTTACGTCCACGCCCAGGTCTCTTTCGCGCGTCGTCATAGGTAGGCAGTTCCCCTTCATTGTGTACTGTCCCTTTGGTCTCCTGTCACCTAGTCCCATTTCCATAACTTTACATTTGCTCGTGTTAAACTTCAGAAGCCATTTCTACGACCATCTCTGCAACCTGTTCAAGTCCTCTTGGAGGATCATACAATCCTCATCTGTCTCATTACTTCTCATCAACTTTGCGTCATCCGCGAACATGGAATTGTTCCCAGCACCGATCCTTGAGGTACTCCACTCGTTACTGTTCGCCAATCCGACTTCTCGCCCCCTTACCGTAACTCTCTGGCTCCTTCCTGTTAGGTAGTTCCTTACCCATGCTAGGACCTTTCCGCTGCGTTGTGTGTGTGTGTGTGTGTGTGTGTGTGTGTGTGTGTGTGTGTGTGTGTGTGTGTGTGTGTGTGTGTGTGTGTGTGTGTGTGTGTGTGTGTGCGTGCGTGTGCGTGCATGCCAGTTTATCTACACAGTATCCAATCCCTACACACACACACACACACACAACTTGGACTATCTAAATATTAATTAACGATCAAACCATTATCGAGGGTGAGCCGTAATAAGCCGTGGTCACGTCTTAGAGTGTGCCAGTAGCAGTGTGTTGAATACCAGCATCCGAGAACCTCTTGAGACAGCAGCTCACCGTCTTATTTTTAGTGCAAGATCTTGAGTGGTTCCTTGTGTGTGGAGAACAATTATACGCCATCGCGACAGGCACTGTCAAGTATCACTGTTAAGTATCACACCCCCATGGAGGACAAGAACATGGAGGACAAGAACGTGGAGGACAAGAACGTGGAGGACAAGAACTTGGAGGACAAGAACTTGGAGGACAAGAACTTGGAGGACAAGAACTTGGAGGACAAGAACTTGGAGGACAAGAACTTGGAGGACAAGAACGTGGAGGACAAGAACGTGGAGGACAAGAACGTGGAGGACAAGAACTTGGAGGACAAGAACGTGGAGGACAAGAACTTGGAGGACAAGAACTTGGAGGACAAGAACTTGGAGGACAAGAACTTGGAGGACAAGAACTTGGAGGACAAGAACGTGGAGGACAAGAACTTGGAGGACAAGAACGTGGAGGACAAGAACGTGGAGGACAAGAACGTGGAGGACAAGAACGTGGAGGACAAGAACATGGAGGACAAGAACGTGGAGGACAAGAACGTGGAGGACAAGAACATGGAGGACAAGAACTTGGAGGACAAGAACATGGAGGACAAGAACATGGAGGACAAGGACATGGAGGACAAGGACATGGAGGACAAGAACATGGAGGACAAGCAATAATAAACATGGAGCCAAGAGACCGGCCGGGATTTATTAAACATGTACAGGTTAAACGAAACCTGTATATCTTTGTTGACCAAACCACACTAGAAAGTGAATAGACGACGACGTTTCGGTCCGTCCTGCACCATTCTCAAGTCGATTGTTCGGTCCAGGACGGACCGAAACGTCGTCGTCCCTTCACTTTCTAGTGTGTGGTCTGGTCAACATATTTCAGCCACGTTATTGTGACTCCTCGTCTGGACATCTTTCCGTAATCAAATCCACAAGGGCCGTGACGAAGGTTCGAACCTACGTCCGAGATTATCCCAGACGCTGCCTTAATCGACTGAGCTACGACAGGGTCAAAAGAAAACGACCATTACAAGGTTGTTTAAAACAATAATAACATTAAGTTGTGAGATTTTGAAGCATGTAGCTTCTTGTAATACATGTAAACAAAGACGCCATTATTAAGGAAAGATGCAGAGATTTCGTACATGGTTGTGTGAATTGGGTGATGGCTCGGGACGCAGCTGGACTTGTATTTGGACTTTTTTTTTGTTTATATAATGGAGCGAGCGGATGTGTGGGTATTGATATGGCCCGGAGTGCAGGTTCATGTGTCCTTGGTCGTGGTTCCGGCTCTGGGGGTAGTGTGTGTGTGTGTGTGTGTGTGTGTGTGTGTGTGTGTGTGTGTGTGTGTGTGTGTACTCCCTTACTGGCCCCTGCACGGTTGACCTTCAGCTCTTGGACACCACCATTCCACTCGCCAGTTGTCAACGTAACGGCTAATGATCTAACATTTTGTCATATCTGGTCGGTACGTTCTTCCAATCATTCTACTTTTACGCTGACACATAGTTATCTATCTATGGTTGATGTGTGTCAAGCTTCCGTCCATGCCGTCTAGTTATATTGGTATCCATTGTGAACACTTCCCTCTTTTTCCACTGTCAATCCCCTAGGTA